TGGGAGCGAAATGGCCGCGCAACACTGGAAGAGGGTTCGCAGAGCGGTGGAGCGCACGAGTGAAGGATCCTAAGCGAGTTAATGTCTCTAATTATGACCGGTTATAAAATTACACCCTTCGCACCGGGTAGGAGTGACCGAACGCGTTCTGGTCAGATCGTAAATTTTCTTCAAAAACGAAGACGGTGGCCCGCCGCCGCCGCCGCCGCCGCCGGAATTTCAGATACGCTTTGCAACGCGAACAGATTATCAGCTCCTAAATCTTCCGACGGTCCGCCGGGCGTAAATCAATACGCGAATTTTCGTCTCGGTCCTCGCTCGAAATGGGGCCTTGAAAAACGTTGCGTGAAGCACTTAGCGTCGGTAATAAACATCACGATATTGCGAACGAGTCAGCGTCGAGCCGACGAGATCCTCTTGGGAAAAAGATTAGCGTTATCTTTCTGCATATAATTCTGCAACGCTACCGCAAATCGATGGAGGCCGCAATGTCATTTTACTTGGTAGTAGGATTTTATTGTATTATGTCTAACAACAGCGAAAAAACTCCTCGTCGACTTTTGTGCTTAAATCCGGAGCATCGTCACGCGTTATTTTCAATGTCAACTAACTTTTATCCGGAATCTACATTTTACATATTTTTAAAAAACGTCTACTCCCTTATATGCTTTATAACACTGTTATTACAACTGAACTTTTTGCTGCGCGCCCGTATACCTTCGCGCAAAATGTGCTCCAAAGAGCAAATTACGCCTCGAATACGCAACTAGACTTCTAGGAGCACATTCTACAGATCGAAAGCTAGCTACTTAGCGAAAAAAAACATCGATTTTCCCGATCCTCTACACCAGGATCTTCCCTTAATGTAGCAAAATTTTTCATTACTTGGAAGAAGCAAGAATCAACCAGAAAATCCGAGCGAATAAAAGATTTCTGCGGAAAGTTTCCGATCAGTCTATCGTTTTCAGTTACCTCATGCGAGTTCTAATGCAGCTGAACGACTAAATACCGAAATATCGCTTTCGCGAGAGGAATATCGCCTCACACGCGCGCGACATTTTCGACGGCGAAACGTTGCGAAATCGTATAAGGGACACATAAAAAATATATATTACTTCGCAGCCATGATTAGGATCGATCGCGAACAAGTCCCGTCGAGCAGTTTAATCTTAATTAAATCTCACACAGTTATCTAACATTGCGTGTGCGCCGAGGCATCCTGGATCTTCCTAGAAAATTGCATCCTATTGCAATCTATTCTCTCGCGCGGCGATCCTGCCGAGCCACGCGAGCGAACGCCGGCGCGGCAGTAGTCCTGATAAGGCCCTGCGCCTCGGCTGTATCTCATAAAATAAATCCTGCTATCGAAAGCCGTGAAGGGAAACCACACTTGCAACCCGAAACGAAACGCGTCTCGTCCGAGATAAATTGAATTCCCGCCGTTACACGATTATCCTCCTTGCCTCTGCCTCCCTCGTGCGCGTTTCTAATTAATATCCACCTGAATCGATTTTCGAATAAAATTAAGTTCCTGCGATTCACGTGTGTTTCCAGAATGTTTCGAGAGTAATTGAGGACTACTAGAGATAAACTCAAACGCGAAAATGTTATCTCGTACGTCGCGAGAATTTCAGAAATTTATAATCTAGAATCTAGAATTTACAATCCCGGAATTATTATTTATGGGGGCCGATAGAGATATTTCATATCTCGATCGATTTTGCGTTGTAGTGGAAAATTTCGTCACAATTTCATAAAGTAATTGCTGATAATTTTTATCGTTTACCATTTATATTTATCTGATTTCATTCATAGATAATTATCGTCATAAATAAATTATTGCCCTTCTTTAAGCACAATCGAAGGAAGAGCCGATAACTCGTTCCGTCGAAACCAGTGAATCAATGCAGCAATTATTGATATAACAAAAATATCATAAAAGCGCAATAAAGAGATCGTTAATATGGGAGCAGTACAATACAGGCTAATGACGTGTGCCTCTTGAAAACATCAAAAAGAGGCACGACGTCGATGCGAGTGCACGGTTGGTGGCGCAAAGAAAGGAGCAACTACGGCGTGGCCGTTAAATTCGGCGGATGCGCCGGTCTTATGAACCGGTATCGCGCCGAATCGGCATCGCGTGATTCATTAAGGATCGCCTTATGAGTTGTAAATAACATTAAGCAATCGTAAATCCCGCGGTCGTTAAATAAACGTGCTCGCGGGGCACGCCGCGCGAACAGTTATCCGCGGGCCACGTTCGTACGGAGTCCCGCCTTTTAACAGCAGCCTCGACACGTACGCGTATCATTCGCATCAAGGTTGATCGGAGGAGGACTCTACATGGTGGAATCGATGCCAGGAACGTCTCCTGCGCACCCCGAGTGCATGCATATGCATTGGTCGTACGACACATCGTCGCACGTCGCAGCGCGATCCGCCGTCGATTCGCGGAAAGTTATTCACCCCCGAGTGCGAGAGAGATGGACAGATGCATCGGGAATACTCGATATATGTATTCTTTATTTCAGCTACTTCAATCTCGAGATAAAACAATAATTTAGCTACGCGAAGACAAATCATCGGTTGGATTAACGACGATGACGAACGAACGAACGAACCAAACGCGCTTTGGTCAAAGGAAAACAAATTTCAGGATCTTAAAACAGAAATTCGGCTTGTAAAAAGTCGAAAAAAATTCCGCTTTTTATGACCGAACCGCATTCGTTCACATCATCGCGCTAATTCAGCCACCTTTTTTTTCCACGTAAACGAAGAAAAATTGCGGAGAAAAGAGCTTTACTCGTATTTTAAAACAAGTTCTTCCGAAAATATCTCCTTCTATGATGATTCCGTGTAGAAATTCTCTCGGCAAAGAGGGATCTCGTGAAGGAAGAAAAAACGTAAATTAAATATAGCGGGGCTTTGGTCCACGAGGCTCCATGACCAATAATTAATCGGATTATCGCGCGGCGCGATAAACTCACTGAGCTGTGAACAAGTCGTTCTTTTCCCCCGGTTTGTTTGCTTTCTCCGTCTTTAAATATCGATCGCCTGCGCGCGAAAAAAGTCTAACAAGCCGTTGTCTGTCAGTTCTGGAGGCCACGGTTCAATTAACTCCGACACGTCGCGAGACGGCGGCGGTTCCGGTATTTTCCTAACGCCGCGGCGTGTCCGAGTGTGCTAATCGCCGCGCTGACGATGATCTAACGCGAAACGCAATCATCGCGGAAAAAGGCCGGCCGGCCGTGTCAAAATTCATTGACACTTATCTGGCGCGTTCTCGTTCGGCTGCCAACAGAAAGCGCGTCGTCGCGACGTTAATTCGCACTCTCCCGGCGGGATCGCGACGAAGGCTCATCGGTTTTATGATCGACGCGCGCGCGCACACGATGAGACGTGCTTCCGCCTTTCTAAGCGCGTACGAATTAATCGATCTGATCGAGCAACGGCGATGACAAACGTGGCCCGACAATGAGCGCATTCCTAAACACCATAGGAAACCGACCCGAGTCCATTAACGGATCGCTTAATTGCGATACTATACACGTCGCGATGTAGCGGCGGCGCCTTGAGGAGCGCTACTGGAGCTGGCATGTCGCAAAGTTAATAGCGCCTGGCGATTTTTAAGAGAGTGAAACCAATTGATAAATATTCTATACGTATCTTGCAAGACATCGAGATTGAAAAGCGAAATAAAGAATTAACATGAGCTCGAGAGTTTGCATTAAATCTGTGTACGAAATGATGAAGAAGATTGTAAAAATGAAATCGTGATGCATCGTCATGTATTCAATCGCGTAATCGTGTCCAATTAAATCTCTCGACATTGTAAAAATATTTTAATACTTTAGCCGATTTCGGAGCTAAGGTGTTAATATTTTTTTACGCATTTTCTTCAATTTAAGAATATAGAAATATAAAAATATTACGATAGAAATATTTTAATTCGGATCTTGATAGAAATATTGAAATAAATTTCCGGTATATTTTTTCGGAATAAATTAATTCCGGCCAAATAGGCTCGCTGTATCACAGATATGATAAATTCCCTTATTTTTGCGATTCACAGTGAATCCTACGAAGTATGTTGACGCGAAACGATGGCGGATGCACGAGCGTACTTTCACAGAAGCGACCGAGAGCAAAGGTCATTCTTCATCGGCAAAGCTGAGAGGAGCAACAAAGTTCAGGCATTCACCGTCACTGCAATGATCTGCGGAGAGTATAGTCTCCGCGCGAGGATGAGAAAGAGGAAGAACGGTGGTGGACGAGAAACGCAGTGAAATGTCCTTTCACCTTTCTATGTTATTACATTTTTAAACGGACGTATCATTTCGCACAGATAAGACCGTAAATTAAGTGAAGGTAATAACAAACTGAGGATAGCAATTTGTTGTTATTTCGATCACCGATCAGACAATGAAGAAGAAGAAAATTTACAATCAATGCACGATTAAATCTCTTCCGAGAAAGTCGCATAAACATCGATCCGTTACCACGTGATTCTCCGTTTAACCTTACTTCTTACGTTCTCCGCAGCGCGCGATGAAAAGGTTACGCCTCGTTTTTTGTTGCTCCTCGTATACGCTCACTCTCATGCTCCATTGTCGCTGATGTAAACAATGCGCGCTATGCCGTATCGGCAGGTCAAATTAAAGAGGACGTATCGATATTCCTCCCAAACAAGCCCATCCCCTTATCTCAGTTTTTCACTCCTATTTTCATCTTACGTTTCTTCCTACGACGTTTTATCTCAACGGCGCACATTACGACGATTAGAACGAAGCCGCTACGAAATCGTCGAGCAATAATAAATATACAGAATCGCGCGCTCGCGGGTTGAAAAAATAGCCGCGACGTCCAAGGGTCAGCCATCTTGCCCACTCTTTTTCCCCGAACGCCGCGCCATATTGAAACATGACTTTTTTCAATGGAGCATTCGAGATGAACGATTGACACGTGCCGAGAGAACGAATGAAAAGAAAAATTCGACTTACCTGAATCAACATGCGGACGATCGCCGGCTGCCGGAAGGGGCTCGTCGTACTCCAAGGTCGCGGTGTCCTCGGTCGCCAGCACCAGTAGTACGGAAGTCAGCAGGAACGACGTCAGCAACACTGTCCTCGCGGAGTACCGGCCACTGCGGCGAGTCATTTTTCCCTCTCGTCTGTCGCACTTTCTCTCACTTTTCCGCACTATTTTTCCCGTTCGTCGCACCGCGATCGCACCGCACGCGGTTTCGCGGTCACATCTTTTCGATCCTCGTAGGGCCGTTCGCGTTCGCGGGGGCGGCCGCCGCGCGCGCGACTCGGCGCCCCGAGAAAACCGCGTTGTGACGGAACCGAGACCGCACCGGAGATTCGTCACACTTATGCGGAAACCCTTACACGCTTTTTCACGCGTGGCTCCAGCCGCGGTCAGCGAGCCAACACGACGGCGACGATCTCGTATCGCGGGCGACGTCTACGCGCCGTTCGACGTGCTCCATGTGCGCCTCCGGTACGCGCGCCTCGAGTAAAAAAGACCCGCCGACGTTCGACTCTTGTTATTGTTATGATACACTCCACCGCGATGAATCGCGACGCGATGTCGAAACTGTGACAGCAGGTGAGGGGTCGGGGACACCGAGGGGAGGGGAGGGGAGGAGAGAGAAAGAGAGAGAGAGAGAAAGAGAGAGAGGCAGAGAGAGGAGGGAGGCACCACGCAGTTAATGTTAATTGATAACGCGAGCTACCCGTTTTGAAAGAACTGTGCGCCCGCCACACCGGCCCATACTCTACTGCTACGCCGCAGTCAGGTGTTTGGAATAGCCGCTACGCAACCGCGGCGACATCTCCCGGCCGCCCGCCGAGATAGCCGCTGGCGCGCCGTCACGTGAGTCGCGCGCGTTCTCCTCTCTACGCGCGCGCTTACTCACTCTTCCCTCGCGTCTCACGTGTCTCCGCGGGCCCACCGACGGATTTCATTCATAGGGAGCCGTCGCCGCCGCGACTCCGCGATCTGTTCCGCGCGTATTCGCGCGTGGAGTGACCAGATCGCCGTGCACCGCACGTACGACTAGATTATTGCTCTTTTTGTCGAAACGACACGAGTCCGGAATACGTATGAGAGTCGCGGGCAAAATGAGAGCAAGTCAAAATGCGACCGAACGCGTCCCAATGCTCGCGATACTTTTGGAAAAAAAAGTCTCGTCCGTAATGTGATAAAGAAAATCAAGAAAAATCTCCACTTAAATAATTCTTATTTAATCTCAATTTAATAATTCTATAAATATCTCTACTGTTCGTTTAATGTCTCAACAAATATTCTACCGTGCCCGTATAATTACTAAATTAATTAATTACTAAAAGATGCTTTCGGTTTCTCTGTCTTTCTCTCGAGTACCTTCGAGCATACCGAAACACGATTGTACTCGGTACATAACCTGCCATGATACAAGCAAGATAACGAAATGCTACGTAATTAGGACTCAATCAGGACCTCGACAATGTCTGTATCCGAGCGATACAGAATCGACAATAGCCCCTCTGATTTGTGATACTCTCTCTCTCTCTCTCTCTCTCTCTCTCTCTCTCTCTCTCTCTCTCTCTCTCTCTCTCTCTCTCTGTACTATTCCCAATCTGTGTGTAAGAAGCGACTTTTAACCCTACCGAAAATGATTGCGTAGGAAGTTACCTTGCATCGTATGAATCCGCGACGGCGGTGGCGAACGGGATTCTCGCGCGATGCAACAACCTTGATGCACCACCTCTGTGCGGTCAGCGTGGAAGACTCGCAGGCATGCCTGCCGGTATTTAATTAAGCCCGGTCGTTCGGGAGAAAAAAGCCGTTGGTACAGGAAGCGATGGGTTTCGAGTACGCGAGCAGCGGACCGTGCTTCGAGCGACCGTTACGCGACATTGGCGTAGTCAGGCGAATCGATCGCCCACGCGCTATCGATCGTGATCGATCGAAGCGAGATATCGCTTGATCGCTATGACTTGAAGTGTTTGCTTCTAGACGAAAGGTGCGAAAGCTGTCGTAACCTTAACCTCTCACTATGTGTTCTAAAATTCAGTGCCAGTACTGAAAATACATAATTTGTGTCACCTATATTATAGATTTTCAGTGCTGGCAATAAATACTGGAACACACAGCCTATATTAATAGTACCGATAAATTATATTTTTTCCCGCGTTTGCATGCGTGTGTAAAATTCATCTCCACATTTCGAAATCGTATCTGTAGACACTTATTGAAGTAAAATCTATATATTACATCTGATAGGAACTTTTACGAATCTTGTATTAAAATTCTATAATTATATATTTCGATATCACGATACGAGAGATACGATTGAGGTTAAATGCGACGACGCTTGTAGATGCTTTTCGAAACAAGATTTGTATTAAAATTCTATAATTATATATTTCGATATCACGATACGAGAGATACGATTGAGGTTAAATGCGACGACGCTTGTAAATACTTTTCGAAACAAGATTTGTACGTCACATCTGACATAAGTTTTTTACGATTCTACGTAAAAAACCTATAATTACATATTTCTATCTAACCACACGATAACGTGAAATACGATTGAGGTTAAATGAGGCACGACAACTCCCGATCGACAAAATGCAAAGTCGTTAAGGATGACCGTTCACCTCATCGTTAAATTGCGATATTTGGCACTTTCGAATCGACTCGAAAAATTTTCGACACGCGCCGTAAACGCAATGGGCCAATCGGTGTGTATCGCGCGTAACCTTCTCGGCTTCCCTTCCTTCCTCCTTACCACGCCTTCTCTCTACCGTCACCCTCTCCGTCGGTTACAAACGAACAAGTGGTCTGCGGTTTTTCATCCCGAGGAAGAAGCGAGCGGTCGATGCACCTGAGGAGATCGCGGGTCAATCGCGACAGCGATGTTCGCTCCGAACTCGTATTTGCGCGGCAGCCATTAACAGCTATTCGCAACTTCCGTGCACACCGCGCGACGCAAAAATGACGAGTGTCACTGACGACAATGATAAATATCACTCATGATGTGAGGCAATATTCTAGATGCTCGTCAAAATTCCAGCAGAATAATCGCGCTTGTTGTTTCGTAAAATTCGCTCGCCTGGAAATCACACTTCCAGAAATGATTCGACACGAGTCGAAAAAAATTCAGTCGAAAACAGACATAGACGTCGTTTTCTTAAATTAGTATCAAGTAAGATATTGAGATCGAAAGTAGGATCAAAATTTCGATTCGGGATGGCGCGGCCATATTTGAACTTCTCAGTCGGAAAGCCGGCACATCGACCGAATACCGCTACCTGCAGCTAACGCGCGTCCGACAGATCGTCGTCGAGCCAATCTCTTAATTCCGATGCGATCGCGAATACATTTCCGCATTTTATGGAGCTCCGAAAAGGTATATCGCGCGCGCGCGCGCGCTCGCCCGCCGAATCCTCGTAAATACATTCGACGCCATTTCGCGAAACACGATCCGACACGTTCACGCACACATACATGCACACGTACACGCACACGCGCAGATCCACCGTACAACTCGAAAACAACATCGTCCGTGTCGGCTAATCTGCAGGCCGGTGGACGGCCGTCGTACATATTCGAAATATCGCGCGCGAGAATCTGCGGTAATATCTAAACGCCATACCATACGCATTCAGCAAGACTCCTGCGGTTAAGAGCGCCGAGGACACCCACATCAATTATTCGATGCTCCGTACCCTTCCGCCGTCGGCATCAAAATGGACGAGTGCAATCGACTGCATCAGATAAATCGATGCGCGCGCAGAGCGCCTACATCGAAATTGACTATCGGCAACTTCACGCAATTTAACGATGTGTTAGGTTAAAGTTCTCTGGGACGCGAGAGGTGCGAAACCGCGGCACGTCCAGCGCCGCTGTATGTAAATGCACAATTCTGCTCCTATGTTTCTCTACTTTTCTCACTGACTCGCCGATTCTCCTGCTCCTTTTTTCCCGGTGAGCCCATGAGCAACAGATTCTCTCACAAGAGCCGGTTCTACTGGTTTCCAGGTTAGATTCGCGGACAATGTTGCCGCGGTAGCGCGAGAATTCGACACTTTTATCGATTGTCGCCGCCGTATTATCTCGAGGAACGTGGTTTTGCTTGTAAGGTCGCCGATTACGGCCTTAGACGAAATCCGCCGGCGACGTGTGTTATTTTCGCACGGTGCAACACGAACCGCTAATGTTTGATTTGCGATCCTCATTTTTGCTGACTCGAAGAAACACAGAAGTTAATATCTTACTAGGTGCTTTGATTTGTATGTTAAATTTTATTTCCTAATATAATTATTCTGTATTAAATAGTTAAATAGACAGAAGTAAACAGAAAATAATGATTCGCAGGTGCGTAACAATAGCCGAAAATAGGAAACGACAAGGAAATCGCTCGTTCAACTTCCTGTCTCTTACCACGATACGTGAACATCACCCGGCAGAAGCTCAGTCGCCGAGGAAGCTCCGTTTCCCCCATTTCCGTCGCCGATTCGCCCTCCATCGAGTCGACGAATAAATGGAAGAACATTAGCTGCGCTCACGCTGCTGCTTACCGCGGCTCGTCGTCGTAAGGGGACAAAATTTATTGCATCAAATCAGTTATAAAATACGCCATAACTCTCACTCGATTTACGACCGCACCGACGGCGTCGACGACACGACCCTTCGTAACATTACACTGGGTGTTCCAGATTCGCCATTTCTCGAAGCAGAAAACGAGCGAGAGGCGATGGCATACGGATCAATTTCGTGGACATCAATAACTTTTCGCTTCTCTCACTCAACGCTCGAAACTTCCACCACACATCATATCCAGGTCCAGGTAATATTAAGTAAATATTATTCCGTTATGAAAATCGAGTTGCATTAAAATTTGGCTTGTTTCTGGAATTTTAACTCGACTAATTCTCGCAAACAGAAGAGAAAAAGATTTATTCGCCGTCATGAAGACTTGCGGCGATGTTAAAAGGAGGAAGTTGAATTTATATTCATCTAGGAATTCATATAACTGGAAGGAGAGACACCTGGAACACGCGGGCCACTCTGTAGATACGCGGAGTATACGAGGGCGCACGAGGTGCATCTAAATATTCATACGCGATGCATCACCCGTTCCACCGCGTTGCGCGCCGCGCGCAGCAGCGTGCAGATATGAAAATTTAGCGCAACAAATGTTTATATCCCCGTGGCGAGCGAGCCGGCGGCTTGTTAATGCGCGTACGTCGTACATACCTGCCGGGTGGAGACTTAATTAAAAATCGAGTTCGCCGGAATACCGGAGAGGTGGAATAAATTTCGCGTACACGAGCCATTAATTAGAGCGCTATCGCGCGCGCTACCTCTGCGACGCGCATTTTCGTGTTCGTATTCAAGATCAAAAGAGGCCCTTTGAAAAGACACAGTAGGAAACACATTTGTCATGCGTGTATGCGATACCGGCGATGAAATCCAAGATAAACGTGACGCGTTTTCATCAGCAGACGTGCCAATGCATGAACATTGGCGAGAATCGTTGCAATTTATAATAATAATCCTATATTAAAAGATAATCGCGATGTAAGACACACACCGCATACGTGACTCATGCCGCGATCAAGATCGGGCGAAAAAAAAAAGAAAGAAAGAGGAGAAAAAAGAACGGCCGCTCCGTTTCTCGCTGTTCCGCAACGGGGCGTGTTTTACGACGCCGGTGTCTCTCTCGTCTCGTATTCTCCGCGCGCGGTATCTCGCTGCTACGATCTGGCGCACATTGTGCGTGCCTCCTCTAAGCGTGTACGCTATTGTTTCTGCTGACGTTTTGACACACGCGAAAAACCGCGATTTACGCAGCGGCGCGCTCAGACGCGCCCACGCGGTGCACGAAAATTTCCGAGATTATCGAGAAGCCGAAGCACTTCCAGTCGCCACACTAAATTAGCGTGCGCGTATTGTGCAAAAGGAAGATTATTGTCTCGCGCGAAACCGCGAGTAATTGACCTTTACCGAGCGTTACTTAATCCATAAACGACGCGTACTTCGCGCAGGAAGTCTCCAATTATTCAAGGATCCTTCAGCTGCAAATCCGCGATTTCTCGCGGCTTGAAAAGAATCGGAGATTCCGCAAGGCCGCACGTGTGTGAAGTTGGCCCCGCACTTTTCGAATTTTGTATTTTTTTTAATTGTACTTACTGCATTGTACTACGTTTGTGCCGTATTGTGCAGCAATCCGCAACTCTGTAACTCAAAGCGTACTCAAGAAAATTAAGAAAAACTAAATTTTTGATAGCCTCGCATTTTTCGAATTTTGAGTTTTTCTTTATTGTGCTGTATTGTGCTACATTTATGCCATAACTCCGCAACTCTGTAACTCAAAGCGTACTCAAGAAAATTAAGAAAAACTTAAAATTCGAAAAGTGCTGAAGTGCAACTTCACATACATCAAGGTCACGTTGATATTCAGCAATCAGCATCATCGACAGCGAAATTCACCGCGCGATCCTGAAAAATCTAGAAAAATATCGGTTACGCGTACGCGGATCTTAGAAAAATATCAGTTACACGCGTGTACGTTCAATTATATAGCGCGTGATCACAGTGATTGCTTTTTTCGCCGGTTGTGCGTCTTCCTGTATTGCGCTCGCGATAGTGAGCTTCGATGCGCGCATTCTCCTCCTCCTCCTCCTCCCCCTACCTCGTCGCTAATACATCACAATTTAATCAAAGCGCACGATGGACTTGTAATTTCGTGTCCCACATGTCGGCGACTCTTTCAAAATTCACCGTCAGCTTCCCCCCGTTTTTCGTATCCTCTCTCGTAATGCAGCACTGCGCGAAATAATCGAAGGGAGTGAACTTACGAAAGAGAAAAATTGCAGAGTTCTATGGCTGAAAGTCTCTGGACGATACTATTTCTATTATTCACTGTCGCACGTGTTCATAGAGACGTAATAACTTCGTAATGCATTATGTCACTTGAAAATCAAATATAGATAGCATAGTAAGGAAGCGAGATTGAAGGTTGCAAAATATCTGATACAATAATATAGTAATGATGTGAAAAATATATTTCGTATGATTTATTTTCTTCGTTGAGATCATTTCTCTCAGAATTTTGATAACAAAGAAAAAGGCAGAGAAAGAGAAAGATGAAATTACGTTATGTTAACGTTTCGGTCAGTTTGTGATTTCGATAAAAACGCACTTGAGCAATGCTTAACATAAAGACCGTGCGAATATTACTTGCCGCGGTCTCATGCAAAATAGGTATTGCGAGTGTTACCAATAGTGCTAGTAGCTAGTGAACGTTGGGAAACGCCGTTTGAATAATATCCTTAGCAATAATTGCTTCGATCACGAAGAAGAGAGCATTGTCCTCGATGAATAGCTGCATTCAACGGAACCGATTAACGTCTTGCTCGGACATCACTCTGCAATTACGATCGTCCACAAAGTGCCTGACGTTCAGACGTCAAATTAGCACACCAATGGGGAAACTCGGTGAATGTATGTACAACAGTTTAACAAAATAATTTTAATAATTTAAGAACATTCTGTAAACAATATATACACAATTCGATGCGATACAATACAATACTCTTGCAACACAGAGTGAATATAGGAAACAATCCAACTCAAAAATTATGATATAATATTATCCTCGACATATCCTATATCACGTAATAATTATATATTATTATATAATAAATATTGTTCTTCAGTTTTACTCCACTGAAATTTCACCACTGGAGAACGAAAGTTCTGTTTTATATATGTCATGTAATCTGGCGCATTTCTTAGAGATAAGTGTTTCACGAAAATATATTCAAATTAAGTAAATTTGTAATACTTAAATAATGATCATTTAGTCGGTATTTGGCGGCCTGTCCATAAATAGACTATATTATATTACAGTATATGACAGCGACAAGCGAAACATCCAGTAGGTACGTAAGTCCGCATGAAGGGATGTGGTGGTTGTGCTGGATCCAAATTCAAAGAATCCTCACTCTCGTCGCTCAATTCCTCGATACTGAACGTATCGGTGAGATCTTGCTTGTGCTTTGAAGAATCCTTAGACTTTGCAGGAAAGAGTGTCATCTCATCTTCACTGCAATTGTCAGTGCTTAATATTTACAGATTAAGTATTTAATGGTATTTGAATATTTTGATAATTGGGTATTTAACGGGATATTTAATAATACTTTACAGTATTATAGTATTATTATAGCTAAATATATTCTATACAAAAGTAAAGAAAAAATATTCTACAAATTGTACAAAACTAGAAATTAATTTTTAAATATAATAATGCATCAATATTATCTGCCAATATTCTTTATGTATGTAATTATTCAATACCTTTCGCTCTCACTATATTCGACTAGAGGAAGGTGTTCCTTATTCTTGTGTGGTATAGGCAACCTTTGAATTGATATCAATCCGGCAGAACTGGAACTACTTGTATTCTCGTTGTCATATTTTGGAAGCTTTATATAATCAGAATTGCGTTGGATTCGTTTTGCCTGTTCAATACGCGTCTCTAGAAGATAAGATTACATACATAAGGAAACATTATATAACATAAAATTTATATAAATTATATAAATTAACTAATTGTTACAACATTAATCTTGTAGAAAGATAGTGTTTCAATACCAAGTTTTTTCTGTAACTGCTTGGTGGTGTTCCGTTGAGGTACTTGGGTATGATTACTGCTGGAACTGCTATCGCTGCCCTATAGGAAACAGAATATTACATCACTAAACAATTTTGTCTTGTGTATGAATCACTTTTTATACAAACATTATGGATATTTTTTATTATATTTATTATTATTATTATAGAAGCATGAATTACATGTATTATATAATAAAAATTGTAGGTAAACTGTCAGCATTTTATCAATACAGTACTGGGATAAACACTTACCAAGAAGAGTCTCTCATCTTCCACATGATTAACAGTTTTAGGATCACTGTCAATACCGCTATCTTCCATGCTTCAAGACATTTATAGATGCAGAAACTCAACTCCTTAATTCATCTGTAACAAAAGGTGATGTTTCCACTACCTATCTTGTCTTATCAATTTAAACATGAAGAGGTTAAGACCAAATCAGAGATAACAGAATCTCAAGACATAATAACAATTCGCATCTGTTGCAACTAGCAACACCTAAGAATATTCATATTTTATTATATAATGCAGAATTTGATAAAGTGTTTCATTACTCATCATAATTTCATGTGTAATATTTTAGGATTAGAACAATTTGATAGCACATATCACTCTATGTTATGAAAACTACTTAAATAATTCATTTGATAAATTTTACTTCATAATATTTGCGCGATTCTATACAATAACTACGCTGCAACTTGTTGGAATGTTCACATTACCATGGTATAGTCCATTATTGATTTTTCCTCCTATCGAATAACCTCAAAAAGATAAGCATATTTGTCTCGATTATGAAGCGGAAACTTAATACGACACCCAAGATATGTACATATACAATACTGTATAAGCTCAAGCATCATGCGCTTGATGACTTTATTATACACATTGATTGTCACATGATATCTGTCATATATATTTATCACACAATATGTATAAATATTAAATAAATTGTAAAATAACTGCAATTTTGTTTATATTTTTTCATATGATAAAAATTCTCAATTTTTCTAGATTAAAATTGAAAAACATTTTATATTCAAGTCACACAATTTACCACTGAACTGACATTATTATCACAAGGTCTAGCGTATCCTAGGAAACCAGAACCAACTTCCCACTGTTGAATGATATGACAGCATTTGGAGTTTTTATCTATTGTACTTTTACTATGTTTGTAAATTGTTGAAGACTCTTATTGACTTACACACAGAGAGTATATTCACTCTGACAATCTTTTCATCATTGTGCACAAGATAAAAAGTATAAAGTGATCCATACCCAGCTAATTGACATATTGTTATTGCTTTCAGAGTAATCTTATAACACAATACAAACAATGGCACCAACAATTCCTAAAAAGCAAAGCTCCAAGATATCAGAGATAAGCAGAGAAGTGTGTATATACTTTATTATAGATTAAAAAATAAATTATATTATTTTAGATCATATTTAAATTATATTTAGACCACACGTTATCATATACCCATAAGCTGAATATAAATATGTATTATGTTTCATAATCTCATAGCATTTAACACTATCGAAGAGTTATATATCACGACAAGATCTGGGTGCTGGTGATATGGATTGGATAAAAGGGAAAGTTTGGTTGAAACCAGATGATCAGTTACAATTAACAGAAGTGGTATGTTTGACATTAGGTTTATCTTTTATCGGTATCATGGATAATTCTGTTTCAAAATATGTTACAGGAATTACAAGAAGAATTTGCCAGGGTATTGACTGTACATAACACCAGAATACCAGACTCCTTGGTAGAATGGTCATGGAAATTACGTGAATTTGTAAGACTACCTAGCCCACCACATTTAGTAACTCTCTTGGATGTAACTGGCACTATATTGCACAAAGATTCCGAAGAGGCTAAAATGCAATTGGCAGGAGGAGTTATCAGTGAGTTTTTTATTTGTGCTCTAATGTAACATATACCGAACATGATAATCGGTGTTACATATCTTACATCTGCATATTTATGTATGCAGCTGATAGTCAAGACGAGCCAGTAAGTGAAAAATTGAAGACTGATGAAGATGAAGAAGATATAGATCTTGAAGAAGAAGAAGAAGGTAAATATAGAAGATACAATCATTTAACATATAATCGGTAGATAAATTACACATTTTATTTCTTTAACACATTTTATTTCTTTAACTATCTAAATAAAGATATAAATCGTATATATATTTTTTTATAAGAACAGCAGACGAAACGGATAAAGCGGTAGAAGCCGAGGCTGAATACGAACAAGAATTAGAAGCTGAGCCAGAATTCGAAGAAGATGAGATGGAAAAGATAAAACCTAAGAAATTACCCAATCAATTCAATTTTTGCGAAAGGGCAGCGTTGACATACGACAATCCCATGAGGGTACACAATTTTCCTCCTATGTAATATATCACAATTTAAACGTTAGAAACTCCTGTTGATATTTATTAAAGATAGTTAAAGAAAAATGTATCGAGTGATACAAGTGGAATAAAGAGTCAAATACTTTACAGGATATGAGCACCCAAACTATACCTCCACCAACCGCAACTTTCAACACACACGTCTTTCAATGGACCATTTTTGACGAGTATCAGGTACACACCAAATATTTTTCTCAATTCTACAACAATATTCAACGATATAATATTTCGATTTCTTTATTTTATCGAGGCAGGAAGACTTCGCTCAACAGCAACGTGAGAAAGAAAAAGAGAAAAAAGCACCATTGACGCAACCAAAAAAGGAGGACGTAAAAAAGAAAGCTCAGGTCGAAACCTCGGCGATGACATATAGAATGTTACAAGCCGCAAAGACACTGGAGCGGATGGTGAATCAAAACATCTTCGATGATATATCGCAAGGTATACGATTTTCGTCGGTGAAACTCGAGGGAAAGTATATTTATATATATATATATATACTTATTTAATTATTATTAGATTATAGATATTGGGACGATCCGAGCGATGAATTCAAAGACGGCGAAGGCTCCTTACTACCTCTGTGGAAATTCTCCTACGAGAAAACTAAGAAACACGACATTACGGACATGTGCTTTAACAGCAGATATTACGATCTCTTCGCGGTCGCCTTCGGAACACGTTGGTAGAAATTGCCTATCGCGTATATCGTTTCTCGCAACTTTCAGCCTGTAAACGAGAACTGGTGTACTTTTTAGTGTTGTTTAATAGTACTGTAACAAACGGTACGGTGTGCCTGTTCAGCTTGAAAAATCCGTCATACCCAGAATGGATTTGTCCGACGGAGTCTCCAGTGATGAGTCTGGATTTTAACGCCCAACATCCTCATCTTTTAGTTATCGGTAATGAGAAGCAATATTATATGTGTGTGTTTTTAAATACAAATTTAAGTGATCACATTATATTGCTTAATAATATTATATATTGCTTAACATTAATGAATAATAATCAAGGTACCATGGACGGAGCAGTAGCGGTTTACAACGTGATGCTGCCGCCGTCCATGCCGCAATACAAGAGCAACGACGTCATGCAGAAGCATGGAGGGTTAGTATGGGAGGTCTGTTGAACTTTTTGACTTCGATATTCTCTTTCTACATACTTTCTACGTACTACATAAGAGTTGAAACAGACAACAGTCTCTACAAGAATTTTCCCAATAGAATAAAAAATTGATTTCGATTCCAGATTCGCTGGGCACCAGATACCGAGGAAGGAAACCTGGCGTTCTTCAGCGTGAGCATCGACGGCAAGATAAACCATTGGGTGTTAAACCAGAACGATCTCGGTCTCACTACCGTTATGACATTATTCCTGGACCGACCACCTATACCGGGACCAGATGGCACGATGATCACGCTCAAAGGTAATGCCAGGCGGATAATAATAAAGGGTAACCGGAGAAATCGCGTCTCGTTAGGAGTGACGATTATGTGCGCCCGTTTGCATTCAGGATGCGGGACGTGTATCGCATTCCATCCCGCGGATCAGAATGTTTTCCTGGTAGGGACGGAGGAGGGTAGTATGTACAAATGCAACACGGCGTACAGTAGTATTTACATGAGGACGTATCACGAAGCGCACACTATGCCGGTGTACCGGATAGTCTTCAACAAGTTCAACTCTAGTATTTTCGCCAGCTGCTCAGGCGACTGGCGAATCAAGATCTGGGAGGACGAAAGACCGTAAGTGAGAAATGCAGGTGTCGTTCGGATTGATCACGATGTTTGCTTCACGTTACACCGTAATATGTTGTACACAGGCGGGAAAAAAAAATTGGTTGTCTTAATCTGACAATGCATGAACCAAACGCGTATCGATTGAGGGAAATAGGATTTCTGATTCTTACAATTGAATTTGGCTCGTAGAAGCTAGAGATTCTGTTTGATCCAACGTAAACGTGTTTGGTTCGTTTATTATAATTCTTTTCCGCTTATCACTTACAGGGAACCTCTGTTTATGTTCGACTTGGGTGTTCCGATCGGAGACGTTCAGTGGGCACCGTACAGCTCGACAGTGCTTGCCTGCGTGTCGAACGATGGGAAAGTTACGGTGTTTGATCTAAATGTTAACAAGTACAGACCTATCTGTAGTCAAGCGGTCGTCAGTAAGCGAAAGAGCAAATTAACCCGGCTGGCCTTTAACAATGTGTTGCCGTTTATAATTGTCGGTGACGATAAGTAAGTAATAATTTATCAGAAAAACATATTCTTTATATTTGTATATCTTGACTGCAATTGTCTATTATACATGAGATATCAATGACCACACAGAGGTACTGTGAATACGCTGAAACTATCTCCAAATTTACGGATAAGAGTGAAGCCAACGAAAAAGCAACAACATTTGTCGCAAACAGAATTAGAATCCATGAAATTGGAGAAGTTGCTCAGTTTTGTGCGAGAGCCACCAATATTGACGCCGCCTAAAGACGTGAGAACAACGAGCTAAGTGAAAATAACGCACATTAAACGCACATGCGGATATTAATCTCTTATAAACAACAGTGTTTTATTAATATTTTCTATAACAGACAGAGATATACATATACACATCTATATTTTTACAAATAAATTGGCACTAATTATGCAGTAGAATTAAAATAGTTCTACAAAGTAGTAATTTATGTATCTCTTTTTCTGGATTTATTGCCTGAAAACATGATTGTAAAAGTAGAACAATTAAGGAATGATTGATGTATGATAAACCAAACAAATTGATTTCGTCGAAAATAATCAAAGGAAATATTTTATTCTTGCAAGCTTCCCACAGTATTCCTCTTAAAATTACAATTTTTAATTGAGCAGAACTTGAACAATCGAATTTCTACTCTATATGTATTTCTCTATAATTATTTCTCCTTTTGACATCTTACAGAATTCTTCTCGAAATATAATATATTATATATGTCTCTATGTAAAAGAAAATATTTTAAAAATATCATAAGACTAGGTCGATTTCGACCGCGTTAATATTAAATATTCATGTCTCTAATATGGATCTTATAGCACCTATTAAAAGACAATAGAAAAGCTAGTAAAAAGTTAAGAGACATAATGGAAGTACGTGTGTGTATATACACCGGGAAAATGTTAACATCCATATCCGCGAGGTCTAATTGAAAATACTAAGTTTATTTGGCACAATATTAACAGGTCGATCCATGCAAGGAAGAGGCCAGAAAGGAAGAGGCCTTCCTATTCTAAGTCAGATTACTCAAAGATACAAATATAACGATTTCGCTAACAATTATTTGTCATAATTTCTCATTGAAGGAGGGCCCAAATAAGGCAAATAGAAATGTCAGTTTCCCTAGACTATAGGAATGTTGCGAAAAATGTCAAATTGCAATCCTTACTCGGATGTTGATGACTTCATGCAAATAGATAAGAATTCCTAATATCGTTAGACACGGTTATCAATTCGACAGCAATAAACGCGACTCAGCTCCTCCTGAAGAATATCAACTGACGCATAAAGTGAGAAACGACAATCACCAGGTCGCTATCTAACGGGCGATTCGCGAACAATTAATCGGAACGGGCTAATCGAGAAGAAATATGCAAGGTAACTCCGGATTCTCTATCACACCCTTGAAGTATTTGAGCTCAAGGAAGTCTCTAATATTATTCGGACACGGCACTTGTCTACCGGCGAACTCGATGCTCGACATCGGATGCAGGAATTGTTCTGGGAAGTCGCCGTTCTTCAGAAACCATGCGTCCTTCGTCATGGATCCATTACGCGCATAGAAGGGCAGCAGATTCACGTGCAGACGGTTGACCTTGGAGTACTGTACCTTGAAGAACTCGCCTTCGGTCGCCTTCTCCCAGACAAAGCCATCGTCATCGATTACCGGCTTGTTCTTAGCTCTGATCAACCACGGCGACCTCGCTAGATCGTCTCGATTCAGTCCAATTTGCACCTCGTGATCCCAAGGTAGAATATCGCCATTCCTCATTGCACCCAGCAACGACTGACCCTCCAACCAAAAGCGAATGCCCACTTCCTCAAGCTTGTCGATCACGTGGTGAGTCACTCTCCTCAGCCCAGCTAGGCAACAAGGCGGTGTGTAACGATTCTGATAGAGGTACGATGGTACGCCATTTATCACTGAGCCGAAACACCTAGCAGTCTCCCGCGAACAACCGTGCCACTCAACGGAACCGGAAACTTTCGTCACTTTCTTTATCCCCAATTTCTCGAACATCAGTCGCTCTCGTGCACGATGCAACTGCTGCACCTTGAATTGTGCCTGTTGGTTCCTGTACAACGGTTTTCCTTCATTGAACTGATAGCTCTTCAATATATGTATCTGAAAACGCAAGAAATACCGTGAACATGTTTCGATTAATAATTCTAAAATAATTTCAAATATCAATATGAAAATGCATAAGAAAAATATGCTACAAACCTGTATGTTTTTGAAATATTAAAAAAAATATGCAGTGTATGGAAAATACTTACCATTTGAATAAAAGAAAGCCATCAAATGCAAAAGAACCACTGGCTAATAATCACTGACACAAAACACAAAACATTCATAAAATAATTGCAATGTAAAAAAAGTTGATTTAAAAAATGTAGTCCATTGCAAATTCATGTTAATGTTACATAAGAAAAATGATTAAATTTCATCAATAGAAGTACAAAAATATATAAAAGACAATAAATTAATTCAAATGACGATCACAAACCTTTGCACCTATAGCTGTTGTCTGGATATACAGTGCATCCGAAAAAGGCAGCAAAAAGGGGTCTGAAAGTTTCCTCAAGGTCTTGGCATCAATCATAGTCACATGCTTCCCTATCACACTATCACATTCTGTTCCTGACACTCGTGTCATCCTCAAAGTCCACTCTTTCACTCTTAGATCTAACTCAAGACAATGCAAAGTGATCTTTCCCACTGGCACAATGACTATTCCTAACTTTGGCACCTGCGAGATGGTCTCCTGTAGAGAGAATAACATTATTAAGGAAATAATGAAAAGTCACATTTATGCTTTTGTGTCGTACAAACAGTTTACCTGAATGACCTGTTTAGTCGATAGTCTTGTAGCATCAGGCAAGAACATGACAAATTTGGTGCGTATATAATACAGTGGATTCCTCTCCTCGAAAGACTTATTGAACTCGGGTCTTAAGCTGATCAATCTGACATTCCTCATGCTCTCATTGGCAAAGTCCAACTCTAACGGTGGATAGGGCAGCTCATCGCAGATTATCAAGATTGGTATGGTCGGGAAGGAATTCAAGACGGACTCCACTACGGACGCCACGTCATTCTCGAAGCTCTCGAATTGCCTGATGACAATGGTGACCAACCGGGCCAAGTGGCGATGGAGCTTTTGTGGCGGTGGTTCGTTTGTGGTGACGCTTGGCGTCAGTAGACGCAGGGTATTTTGCGCCGCGAACAACCGCCATATCCTGTGCCAGACGATGATGTTTCCCAACAACGCGAGTACCAAGACCGCCCTGACTAACCTGAGGCGCATTATTATGGCATTCGATGCAGACACACCTTACATCATTGGCGAACGGCGCCCGTCTATATTATCCCAGTATCAAGCTCCACTGAGCATTTGACAGGTTGTGACATTTCTGTCATCTCGGAACGATGATTGTGAGTGTATTAAATGAACGCACGAAAACTGCAACTTGCTTTGCTTGATTCGGTGAAATCTCACGCGATTACAAGCTCGGCCAATACTGGAATGAGGATTTATTTCTCAACGTAGGCGGACGCCTACGAAGCGTTAGAAATGATTTTTGAGGTTAGGTATGTCGGTGGCCTTGGGTAACTGACTCTGATTGACGACTCGTTATATCTTTGTAGCTTCGACATATGGATGATTATAATATGTGGTAACATGTGTATTTACCGCGGCAAAATGATGCGACAGGTTTTGTTTAATTGAACAAATCTGAAATTTTAACGCATTTTAACGAAAGCGGAAGAAAAGATACGTTACGTATTTCTCGGAACTAGGTTAAATCGTTCGGTGCAGATTGCATTTTCATACTAAAAGTGCGAGTTGACGTAACGGTAAGAGCATACAGCGATTACACGGTAATTGGTCTCGTCCTGAAAATTAACACAATTGCTAAAAGGCCAATCCTTGACCTCCCTCCCTTGCACACATTTCGGCCGTATTTGAATAATTTTGTATCTAGCGACTTTAGATGTCAAACTAGCGGTTGGCAGCAGTTTCAAAAGAGTTCATTTTATTATATAGCGTATAATAATTATATAATTATATTCTCACACAAGATACTCCCTGTAAGATTTTGCCACCGTTATCACCGTCGATTATATTTTATATTTTAACGTAACTCTTAGTAAATGCAACTGTGTCACTAGAAATCGACATCGAGGAGGAAAATTTCAGGCGATATGACGCTTCGCAAATTTACCAGCCGGACGCGACCACTGACATGCAGAGAAGCCTGAGAGCGGCCACGCCGGAGTTTTTGGCGACATACATTTTGATGACTGATTTTAGCGCCATCTGCGCTCATTTGTAGCCGGTAACTACGTTGACGGTACACGTCTGGTGCGTGTCCGTTCTACGCCGATTTATCGGCGGTTCGTGTCTGTGATACGCCTATAATTGCGGGTTTGAGAAACACGGCATCGCGCACAAAGTTACACCTCGTTCAACAGCACATGATTCTTTTTCTGTACATATGCATTTCTACAGATATTTTTGTAAAGAACTGCATCTTCTAATTATTATCCGAATTATTATCTCTCGTTACATTCGTAATTCGTAACAAGAGCAGGCGGTAATTCCCAGTCGACACAGAGCATTAGTTACATTACATTTATATTAAAATTTCACACTCAACACCATGTGTGTTATATATTACATTTATATTGTTGAGTGCGAAATTTTAACATAAATATAACGTTCTGTGTCGACTGGGTTGTTTCCTTCTCTAAATATTTTGGAAGCTTTGTTTCATGATAGTGTAGTTGTTCGAGATTCGAACGGGAGATTTGCCTATTATTTCTGAAACATTCTGAGTCGTTCTGAAGAGTTTTCATCGTGTTTAGTCAGACGTATATTTTGACGGAGCTATCGCTACAGAGATACGTGGAATGATATCGGGCAATATATCTTTTGACGAAAAGACCGGCGGTCGTTTATATTTCCTTGGAAAATACAGCTTGATTGGAGCAGGGATTATAAAAGGAGGAACGCAGCGTGATTTGTTGCATCCCGATATACAAGCCGCGTCTCGCGCGCGTCCACGATATATATATATATATATATATTATGATTGTTCGCAGTGAATGAGTTATGATTGAGCCCGTGTGACCGCGTTTGTTTATTTACGACTGACATTAAATCGAAATGCAATACGTAACTGCGCGTCCAATTAGGGAATAATTATGCATGCACATACGTACGTTTTACGATCGTAAATTAACTGGCGCGCGCCGTGCGCGAAAACTCGCCGAGTGCGACAAAACTCGGCGCTCGATCGTTTCAAAGGGGGCCTGGGGATTTAGCAAATCGCGATCACGGCGATTAAATCGCAAATGCGAGCAGTCGACAATCGAGATCTTGCCGCGAGAACGCAAGAAACGACAAGTGTCGACGATGTAACGTGCGCGACGTGAGTCGCGCGAGTCCTTTAGTTTAATTACGTCCTAATTGCGTCACATTAATTCTAATTACGAGCAGGAAAACACCTACGTTTACGGCATTGACGTGGTTCTGTGCGCGAGCGACGAGTATATAGTGCGCCGCATTCGTTATTTCATCTACAAACACGTTGTCCCGTTTGCGGCGTTTTAAAAAACCGCCAACTTTCCTTCGGATGTGTCCCCTCTCTCTTTTTTGTTCTATTCTTTTGTTTCTCCAACGGTGCTAATAAGATACAACGTAAATTACATTTTCTCTCTTGCGAGAACACTGAGACTGTGTACTCGTTAATTAAGCTAGAAAATAAATGTACACTCGCACGTCTCGACTCGCGCGTGTGGATGTTAATAATAATAATTAAATATACGTACGTTTCACGTATAACATGATTGACTTGGAGTACTCCGTGCCCACGGTGTTTGTCATTCATAGCGACGCATTCATACTTTCCCTGATCTGTTACATCGGATTCGGTAATCTGCAAGGCACCTGAAACATAAAATGCGATATTCTCGAACAGCGTTCCTCTCAGGATTTTCTTGTCCAAAAAAAGAACAATGATGCGATCGCAGATCTCGTGTATGTCATGTCAAAATAGAGACAGTTTGAATTCGGCGTAATATGATTCTTGGAACAGACGTAAATAAGTATTGTGAAGTTTGAAGCGAGTCTTTCACATGCATGCTTTGAAAATACGAGTTGTTTTCATTTTCAGCTAACGGACGACGCAGGCATCAACACTGATCGGCAAGGTCAGCGACTGATGGGGGGTAACCGTGCCTTCCTAATTGTTTGTTTTCGTACGCTTATATATGACTCCGTGATTGCGGAAAGGACATTGCGCCTCGGGCCGACGAACGAGGCGCATACCGCGACGCAGAGTGTCGGTAGTCGTATCGGTTAATACGCGTTTCTTTGTCCCCGAATCTTACTTGCGCGAGTGTTAGAGATAGAGTCAGTGTCGTCGCCAGTTCTACGATGGAGTATCCGGGGTGCTGCGACGGAGACCAGAAGGAGGACGTCGGATCAAGAAGTCAGGATGGAGAGAGGACTTGGAGCGCGCCGAGAGACGTAGCCGAGGACAGCGATACATCATGTATGGTATTCGAGGTACCTCGAGTTATTATTATTACGCATTATTATTTTTCTGATTTTAACGGACCTTACTCGAAGTAAGGACATACCCGAGTCGAAATTAGATCAGCATTCATAGTTTATATTTTGAAAAATTATAAAATAGCTTGAGATTTGATTATTCCTCCGATTAACCTAATTTCACGTAACGTGAGTTCTACTTTTCTTTTCACATAAAATATGAATGTCTATTCAAGCAAGGTTGCTGAGACAAGCTAAGGTTTATCAATACAAATTTGTAATTATGTTCTCAATGAAAAATTGCACATAATTTAAAAAACTATGAATAATGATCTTAGAATCTGATATAAATTTTACAAGTGTTGATTTTTATTCGTCTAATAATGCTCAGATTGCTGTTTTCGTTTAGAATCTGTTAGAATGTCCGTTTCTCATTCTTGTTTATCTTTCTTATTGTACCGAATCTGAATTAAAATCTCTATTAGTGAAACAGCATTATTAGACATAACCGTTGTCTTTTTGCAGCTTCAGCTCTTTTGAGAGCTACAATTCTCATCATTCTCAGTAGAAAAAAGAAAAGAAAAAAAAGAGAAGAAAAAAAGGAAAAAAGAACTTTAAGAATGATGAGAATAAAAAGCATTTTTCATCTCCCATTTCCTCTAATTCTTATATGATTATTTAATCCTTATATATTTATCTCACGCACAGTTCTAACAAAGGCAGTTCTAGTTACGTTTTTATCTTTGTTCTCTTTCTTGCGCTGTTAAGCGAATATATAATCAAAATCAACAAAAATTTTTCATTTAAATTAAGAATATAAGGATTAAGTACATATACATTATCGAGATAAACGAGTATTAAATAACTGCGGAATACGTCGCTGTTGAAGATACATCGTGGGCGAGACTGCGAGAGTAGCCAGATGTAACGTTCAGGTAAGATAAAGCTTGTTCACTATTGCGCATCTAGATATTCTACATTGATTTTTCAAATTGGATGCAATTTGCAGGATCAATGTAGAATTAATATTTCGACTCGGGAAAGACTCGAAAATGAGAACGAATTGTCATTGCACTTGGACAATCTTCTGACACTGATTTCTGGTATTGATCGATATTAGATTTTCGGTACTGATTTAATCTTTCATTCCTCTACAAGAAAAAAAAATTGATACGACTCATTCATTTATCCACGTTAATTTGATGAATAAATTAAATATTGATCGGTCTTCAATTTTCGGTACTGATTTATTCTCTCATTTCTTTATACAAACAAGACAAGAAAAATTGATACGAATCATTCGTTTATTCGAGTTAATTTGTTGAGTAAATTAGAGGGATAAATGCCTGAAAAATGAGAACAAATTGTCATTGCACTTGGACAATTTTCTGACACTGATTTACGATATTGATCGATATTCGATTTTCGGTACTGATTTACTCTTTCATTTCTCTATAAGAAAAAAAAATTCATACGAGTCGTTCATTTATCCGCGTTAATTTGATGAATAAATTAAATATTGATCGGTCTTCAATTTTCGGTACTGACTGATTCTTTAATTTCTTTATAAGAGAATAAAAATTGATACGAATCGTTCTTTTATCCGACTTAATTTGTTGAATAAATTAGTAGGGTAGTACCTGCAAGATGAAAACAACTTGTCATTGCACTTGGACAATTTTCTTGACATTGATTTATTTTCTTGATTTTATTGATTGATTTTCTTGGTATTGATCAGTCTTCGGTTTTCGGTACTGATTTATTTTCTCATTTTTTTTATAAGACAAAAAATTGATACGAATAGTTCGTTTATCTGAGATAATTTGTTGAATAAGATTAGAGGGGTAAGTACCTGAAAAATGAAAACAAATTGTCATTGCACTTGGACAATTTTTTGACACTGATTTATGGTATTAATCGATATTCGATTTTCGGTACTGATTTTTATTCTTTCATTTCTCTATAAGAAAAAAAAATTCATACGAATCGTTCATTTATTCTCGTTAATTTGATGAATAAATTAAATATTGACCGGTCTTCAATTTTCGGTACTGACTAATTCTCTAATTTCTTTATAAGAGAAGAAGAATTGATACGAATCGTTCTTTTATCTGACTAAATTTGTTGAGTAAATTAGTGGGGTAAGTACCTGCAAGATGAAAACAACTTGTCATTGCACTTGGACAATTTTCTTGACATTGATTTATGGTATTGATCAGTCTTCAGTTTTCGGTACTGATTTATTTTCGCATTTTTTTATAAGACAAAAAAAGTTGATACGAATCGTTCGTTTAACCAAGTTAATTTGTTGAATAAGATTAGAGGGGTAAGTACCTGAAAAATGAGAACAAATTGTCATTGCACTTGGACAATTTTCTGACACTGATTTATGATATTAATTGATATTCCGGTTTTCGGTACTAA